GCACCATCGCGAGCTGATCATAGCGAAGCCTAAACGGGGGGTCATCTTTTGCGGCGCTAGCCAGGAACAGAACCGAGGTCACGCAGGCCCCATGGCACCACCAGCCCCAACAGCTGGCCGCTTGGGCCCTCATCGACTTGATTTGCCCCCAGGAGCCTACAGTTAGCACTCCAGGCTTGTAACGCTTCCTAGCCTGACCCACGATTTGGCGGAGAAGCTCAACAATTTTGGCTTTCTTGGAGGCCTGGCTCCTACGCTGCATGCGCTTGACAGTGAGCATTCTTTTACCAGCCGTCTTGATGAATGCCCCCCCGATCTCGAGCAGCAAGCTCGATCTTCATCGATAGACCAGCATCGCGAAACAGATCGTGAACCTGGCGGCCCAAGTCGACGTCGCTGCACACAATCGTAGACTTAGCATACCTTCTAGCTGGTGCACTAACTACATAGAAGAGGGAACCAAGTGCGAAAGCACCTCCTCCTCCTCTTTCTCTTGCGGTGACAACCTGATATCGTCAACGCATATTTTCCAGTCACTGACATAACATGAACATGTGCAGCGTCCAGAATATTATACACATGTATTCTCACCCGTGACATGGACTGCATGCAACCCGCCAGGATACTCCGACCTGGTTTGATGATCTCGGACACAAGTCCTCCAACCTCAGTGCTCGCTTCCTCGTGGATGAGGAGGCCAGTGTAAAGGAGATGGAGGGGGTAGTCTATCTTCACAGCTAAGCCGATCAACTTGTGAGGTTCGGTCGAGTCGACGAATCTCTTCAAGTCCAAATGCACTCCGACCGAGCAAGGACCTTGGACTCTGGCAGGTTCATGTCCTAGTTCCCTTAGCAGGGCGGCTTGCAATGCACTAGAGCCCTTCATGGCTGTGCCCCAAAAAATCGACCCCTCACTGATTCACACATCCAGGTGATGATCTGTAGCTTTGCAATGACCGCTGTAAACAATCGGACTTTTAAAACTGGGCCGATCACATTCAGTGCTTTTGGGCAGCAGGGCAATCACACTTAACAGGACCCGTGACGACCAAGACAACTGTTGCTCACACTGGTTGAAGAGATGAGTGGACCCCAGAACAGCACCCCTAGGCAAGTCCACCAGAGACCGGGGAGCCCTCTGGCCGACACCGTTCGCAGTGGTGGCAGAGAAACACCTGGAAGCATGTTGCACGTCCATCGCCTCCAGCGGTTCAAGGTCTGAAACAGCCCGCATCGCGAGACGGCTAAGCGAATCCAAAACTCTAGAGGGGGTGTTTCTAGCCTCCACAAGGCCAGTCCAAACATCGATCCAATAACTCACGGTACTCCATCATATCAGCGGGGAGTGGGGGGGTAACCAAAACTTCGGGGGGTTCTCCCGCATCATATTTGAATGAAGCATGGGCTCGCTTGGCTCCTTTAGGTCGTGCTTTGAGGATCCAGCTATTCATGTTCGCCCTGGCGGCAGAGTATGCCACCTTCCAGGCAACACTTAGCGAGCGGGAGATCGCATCGGAGAGTTCGTCCATCCGACCGACTTCAGTAGGCGGGCAGCTAAACTGAGCTTGCCACCAGGAAAACGAGCCCGCCTTATCATAAAAAGAGGCCTCAACCTGCGCAGCTAGACATTGGGGGGCGTTCGCGAAGCTGGTGATCATAGAAGTAAACTTGCGTGCCAAGTACAAACGGAACTTAACATTTCATCAGAGAAATGGGCCCAAACCGCAAGTTCAGGAACAAGAGGAGAACCCGCCAGTATAATCCCTCCTCCAAATAGTCGAACACTAGGAACCCAGACGTTCACCACATGTATCCAGAAAGCTTTTAGATCAAACGCAACCGTTCTGGACTCAAAGATGGCTTCGGTTGAACAGTGCAATGAGGTCAGCAGACAGGTCCTCCTGGACATGCGGCACAACAACCCGATACAGATAATGAGGCACTTCCTTGAGTCCTTCATCAGGCACGCCTGCAGTAGCACATACCAAGGCAATTCAGGGCCATGGCACTCGTGTGGGGCAGTGCCTTACAGCGTTTCCACATCGTTTTTTCCAATTACCTCTTGTTGGATACACACCTTCAAGCAAGAGTGGGTTTTGATCGGACTGCATGGTATATATTCACATCCACGGAATCAGCAATATCACTAGACGCGAGAACATAATCGATCATAGTGTTACGACCCTAAGTACACAGTGCAAGTCGCATCCGCATCGAGTGGGTGGGGGGTGGGGTGGGGTGGGGGTGGGGTGTGTGTGTGTGTGTGGGTGTGGTGTGTGTGTGTGTGTGTGTGTGTGTGTGGGGGGGGGGGGGGGGGGGGGGCACGTGCACGTGCAAGCTGAGGGAATCCAGAGAGATCCATTTCAGAGATGGGGATGGTGAAGTCTCCCATGCGCACCCAGGGTACCGCCAGAATGCCCAGGAACACCGCCACGGCCCGAAGACGCCCGATGTTTTCCCCAGACGTTCCCAAGCCCGAGACCAGAAACATGGCAAGCAACCACCAACGATAAAACGTCGCTTGGCTTGCAATTCCAAGAAGTGCGAACTAGTGGCAGAACCTGCACCCCGAAGGCCTGGATCACAGGCCAGGAACTTTCGAACGTACAGACCTTTCGAGACCAGCGCTCCAACTCCTCCATGGGTGCCTCCACCCCTGGAGGGGTAGGAAGGGTACCGATGAGGCCTCCAACCGATCTGCGCAGCGTTCCGCTTTGCTCGAGACAGCGAGGTGGGCTTCTGATGATGCCCAGCAGCACAACAACGCGTCACAAGCTGGCCTGACTTGCTGCAGGAAGTCCAGTGCTACTTGTTTCCAAGACGTGGTGTTGCAGAACGGCAGATCAACGTCCTGGGGTACTTTCTTCATTGAGTGCTGGCATGCGTCAAACCTGCGGCATAGGGGCGTCCACTCCTGCACTTCCTTGGGGTCGTAATCGCCCCAGGAGGCGTTATAATGAGACAGCCGTATCTGATCAAGGCGTCCGCCCAGGCTTGTTGGCTTTGGCGGCCGACTGCTTAGACATGCGATGCTCCATCCTAGTGAGGTCTTCGGCGGACAAGGGAACTTCTGCTCCGCTTTGCGTAGCTGCTCAAGCTCTCCACGGTGAGTGTCAGCATCGGCACCTTCACTACACATAAAATCGTCATCAACATCAGCAGCCAAGAGAGAAGACTGAAATTGGCGATCAGGCTCCCAAACTTCGATCCCGTGATACTTGGCTGCGCATCCTTCTTTGATTTCTTCAGCCGACAACGTCCCGATGTGTTGTGGCCCTGGTGCGAATGGAGCCACCGCAGCTCCAGACGTACCCCCATCGCCTTCCTGAACACGAGGCCGAGGTTGAGGGGGTTGCGGAGGTTCTGGCGCAGCAGCAGGAACCGCACCGTGAGCATCAGCAGGCCGACTAGCACGAACTCGTTCAGTTTCAGCCTTATCCCACTCAGCTTGCTTTTTCTCCTTCTGTTTTTTCTTCTTCTTCTGCTTCTTAGTCGCATTCTTCTTCTTCCAATCGTTCATATTGAAAATCCGTAGCTGTTGATCTGCATCTTGCTTGGCCTGCTCGGCCTCCTTCTGTTCACGCTGCGAGACGAAGAGCACACCTGTGGTGTCGTCGAGCTGAACTTGGCCACCTTTGCTTTTCGAACCTCGGCTTCTTAATCGCCCACCGAACTTTCTTAGCAGCACCTTCGCTGCGTTCGCAGCCGCATCCATATGCGATAGTGTGGGAGCTGTTTATGATGGCCAGGGGGCGAATTCGCCAAGGTTTGTTCGTAACTCGGGCTTCTAGGCCGACAACATTGCACGTAACTGATCAGTGACCCCACCTTCCTCATCATTGGAATATTGGGGTTGTCCTACGTGGGACTTGCAACTTTTGAATACATATTCAGCCCCACACTCTGAACAAGATTCATGTCCATGACTCGTGTATTCCCAGTGCCCACAGCTGCTGCAAACTTCATGTCCTCTATTCTTGTTCTGGCGACGTTCAGCACTCTGTTTGGGCTCCCACGGCTGGACTGCCTGGGCACCTTTCTGTCCCCGCTTGGAGCGTGCACGACTGCGCCACGAAGGGAAAGCACCAGACATCGCGACACAGAACGGATGGGCGCCCAAACCCCTGCAGTATGGGCGTGCTCAGGATAGCCGAACAGCCAAGTTGTTCCGTCAGCCGCGGCTCAGCAGTATCTAGGCGGTTCACCTGAGAACTTGGGATCTCGAATCAAAGTGGCTAGGCCTAGGAGGATGAAGAGGAGGAGGAGGAGCACGGGGAACCAGGCAGGTATAGGATAAGGAGAATTTGCTTCAGAGTGTTCCAGAAAGCTCTTGAGCATTCTGGAGCACTGGAAGGGTCGCGGCGTCCGGTGCATCTCCAGACTGGCCCGCTCTCAGAGAGTCCACATTCATCTCAGCCCGAGCTTGTCTTCATCCACCTACCTTGACAGAGTTACCTCAGAAATGCCAGACGCAATATACTCTATGTCTGATGTTCTCGGTATGGCTGGCATTGCGTGCGAGGTGCTTGTTGGTGCCCCCTCGCCACTGTCGGTCATCGTAGGACTTCCGAGTCGAGTTGCGCCGGCCCAGACCGCCTTTCGTTTTGCTTCGACATTGACGAGGGCGACATTGAAGGGGCGAAAGGGGGCATTGCAGGGGCGTGTCAACAACTTTTGAATTCAGTTCTCTAGCGCAACTGCGTTCTAGAGCTCGGAGGCCATCATGTTCGTTCGTAGTTCGTCCTCGCCTCCCCCCCTTCCCTGGCCAGGCAGGCATAGGATGAGGGGAATTCGCTCCAGACTGTTCCTGAAAGCTTTCGGAGCATCCTGGAGCACTCTGGAAGGGACGCGGCGGCCGGTCCATCCTCTAGACCGAGATGGATTTCAATATTCACGATTTATCCTCATCCGAGTCTGTCCTCATCCTGCCTGCGCGTCAAGTCTGGTCATCTAATTCATCGTCCCGTGGAGGGGCGTCGGGTGTCGAGATCCCGTCCGCAGGAGGCCAGCATCACCACTACAACGACGACAACGGCGGCAACAAGGACAACCAACGCCGCATTCGTCGACACAGTCGGTGCCGAGAAGGACAGCAGCCATGATGATGATGCTGCTGCTGCTGATGACGACGACGAAGATGACGATGATGAGACGGCGACGATGAGGATGAGGATGAGGATGAGGATGAGGATGAGGATGATAATGATGATGTTTTTGATGCTGATGATAATGATTATTATGATTATGATGATGCTGACGCTGATGCTGCTGCTGATAATGATGAGATGGTGATGACGATCATGATGCTGATGCTGATGCTTCTGATGATGATGCTGATGATGATGATGATGATGATGATGATGACGATGACGATTACGATGGTGATGCTGATGCTGATGCTGATGATGACGATGGTGATGATGGTGATGATGAGAATGATGATGATGATGATGATGATGATGATGATGATGTTGATGCTGATGCTGACATGGCGATGATGGTGATGATGATGATGACGATGATGGCGGTGGTGGTGGTGATGCTGCTGATGATGATGATGAGGAGGAGGAGGAGGAGCGGATGGTGAGGATGAGGATGAGAATACTGATGAGGATGATGATACTGCTGATCATGATGATGATGATGATGATGATGATGATGATGATGATGATGATGATGATGGTGGTGGTGATGATACTGCTGATGATGATGATGATGATGATGATGATGATGATGATGATGCTGACGATGCTGATGATGATTATGATGATTATAAGGAGGAGGAAGAAGAGGAGGAGGAGGAGGACGACGAATACGATGCTGATGATGATGGTTGTGGTGACGATGCTGATGGCGATGATGCTGATGATGATGATGCTGCCAATGATGATGAGGATGATGCTGATGATGATGATGCTGATGATGCTGATGATGCTGATTCTGATGATGATGATGCTGATGATGCTGATTCTGATGATGCTGATGATGCTGATGATGCTGATGATGATGCTGCTGCTGCTGATGATGATGATGATGATGATGATGACGATGATGCTGATGCTGATGATGATGCTGATGATGCTGATGCTGGTGCTGATGCTGATGATGACGATGATGCTGCTGCTGATGATGATGAGGAGGAGGAGGAGGAGGAGGAGGAGGAGGAGGAGGAGGAGGATGAGGAGGAGGAGGAGGCAGGGCGTGGCCGACCTGCCGCACGCGCGCATGCTTGTCACCCCTCACGAGGATCGTGGCCCCATAGGGAGCTCCACCGAAGGCCCCAGCGGGAAAGGTTGCATGACGCCCCCCCCGCCCCAGTGCGGCGCACCCCTCACGAGGATCGTGGCCCCATAGGGAGCTCCACCGACGGCCCCAGCGGGAAAGGTTGCATGGCGGTCCCGCCCCAGTTCGGCGCACCCCTCACGAGGATCGTGGCCCCATAGGGAGCTCCACCGAAGGCCCCAGTGGGAAAGGTTGCATGGCGACCTCGCCCCAGTTCGGCGCACCCCTCACGAGGATCGTGGCCCCATAGGGAGCTCCACCGAAGGCCCCAGTGGGAAAGGTTGCATGGCGACCTCGCCCCAGTTCGGCGCACCACTCACGAGGATCGTGGCCCCATAGGGAGCAAGATGAGGAGGAGGAGGAGGAGGAGGAGGAGGAGGAGGCGGAGGAGGAGGAGGAGGAGGAGGAGGAGGAGGAGGAGGAGGAATAATGATATTAGTAATAATACTCACTGCGTGGAGCTCCCCATATGTGCATCTCATGTTTTATGTCATGCCGTGGTGAGGGTCTGTTCATGAGCGGTCGACTACAATAGCGCGTCCCCGTGGGCGACAGGGCCGACGAAGACGAGTGACCCCTAATGCGAGTGACTGCGTATGAGTCAGAGTGAGCTTTGAGTATGGTTGAATGCGAGCCTCTTCCTCTTCATCCCCCCTCCTCAGCTGCCAGGCCTTCCCCTTTTCAGCCCGTGGTAGCTTTGGAGCTTCCCACAGGTGCGTATGTTGTAGGATAGTTGGCAGTGGGATATGTAAGACGAGCGTTTAGCCACACAAGGCCATAAGTGCATGTCATGTTGGAGGATAGTCTGCTTTCCAAGCGAAGGATGTTGAGCCCGGAAACAGGCAAACCGCCGGAGACATCCCCACAAAATGGCCGCGAACGAGCCCGTGCAACCACCCCTGGCGGCTCCCCTTAGGGGTGCTGAAACCAGCGCCCCGCCTGAGACATCCTCACAATCTGCTCTCCAAGCGAAGGATGTTGGGCCCAGAAACAAGCAAACCGCCTGAGACATCCCCACAAAATGGCCGCGAACGAGCCCGTGCAACCACCCCTGGCGGCTCCCCTTAGGGGTGCTGAAACCAGCGCCCCGCCTGAGACATCCTCACAATCTGCTCTCCAAGCGAAGGATGTTAGCCCAGAAACAAGCAAACCGCCTGAGACATCCCCACAAAATGGCCGCGAACGAGCCCGTGCAACCACCCCTGGCGGCTCCCCTTAGGGGTGCTGAAACCAGCGCCCCGCCTGAGACATCCTCCAATCTGCTCCAAGCGAAGGATGTTGAGCCCAGAAACAAGCAAACCGCCTGAGACATCCCCACAAAATGGCCGCGAACGAGCCCGTGCAACCACCCCTGGCGGCTCCCCTTAGGGGTGCTGAAACCAGCGCCCCGCCTGAGACATCCTCACAATCTGCTCTCCAAGCGAAGGATGTTGAGCCCAGAAACAAGCAAACCGCCTGAGACATCCCCACAAAATGGCCGCGAACGAGCCCGTGCAACCACCCCTGGCGGCTCCCCTTAGGGGTGCTGAAACCAGCGCCCCGCCTGAGACATCCTCACAATCTGCTCTCCAAGCGAAGGATGTTGAGCCCAGAAACAAGCAAACCGCCTGAGACATCCCCACAAAATGGCCGCGAACGAGCCCGTGCAACCACCCCTGGCGGCTCCCCTTAGGGGTGCTGAAACCAGCGCCCCGCTTGAGACATCCTCCAAATCTGATGTGTGTTGAGTAAGTCTGAGTATGAGTAGGTCTGAGTATGAGTATGCCTGAGTATGAATAAGTCTGTGTATGAGTAAGTCTGTGTATGAGTAAGTCTGGGTATGAGTAGGTCTGTGTATGAGAAAGTCTGTGTATGTGTACGTCTGGGTATGAGTAAGTCTGAGTATGACTAATACTGTGTATGAGTAAGTCTGGGTATGAGTGAGTCTGTGTATGAGTACGTCTGGGTGTGAGTAAGTCTGTGTATGAGTAAGTCTGTGTATGAGTATGTCTGAGTGTGAGTAAGTCTGAGTATGACTAGGTCTGAGTATGAGTAAGTCTGAGTATGAGTAAGTCTGTGTATGAGTAAGTCTGAGTATGAGCAAGTCTGAGTATGAGTAATTCCGACAGGAGGGGAGGAGGAAAGAGGAGGAGGGAGAGGCAGTAGGAGGCGTCCAAGTAATAACAAGAACCCCGTCTTAGGATATGGGGAATTAAGAACATGCATGCGAATACTAATGACAGAATGTTAATAAGAAGAGTAAGACGAATATCCAGAACACTGCTGATACTAATCAGAACAGTACTGATATGAATAAAACTAATAATACTACCCCCAACACTATTATTAATACCATTAATACTAATGCTAAGAATAATAATGCGAAGACAACTGCTATTTCTATAAGAAGAAGAAGAATGCTACTTCCAATGTTAATACTAAGAAAACACATAGTAAATCAGTAATATAATATTATTACGAATAATACTATTAGCAATAATACTAAGAACCCGACTACGAAGACTAATACGACGAAACATCTAATACTACTAAGAATACTAGCACTAAGGATAATACTAATCATGCTGATAAGAAGAAGACTAACCACAATCATACGACCACGGCTAATTATAATACGAATGCTAAACGCATGTACTAATAGTATGAACAATACGACGCAGAAGGATAATTCGGGCTATTAGTATTGATAAGGTAAGCAGTAATACTAATAAGAATACCACGATCAATAATGATATGAATAAGAGTACAACGAATAATTTGAGCACTAAGAATATCGATAATAATAGCGACAAGAATTTTATGACGAATCATACGCAACATAAGAAGAAGGCGAATCCGAATCATATTAGTAATACAAAGAAGACTCACATTCGTAAAACATGAGTAATGACTGTAATAAGAGCAAGAAGACATACATAAGAATAAACTTATTCGACGTATGAATAATACTATTACTAACGATAATATTCCTAATACTAATACGACTCATAAAAATAAGAAGAACAACTTGATATTTATCATACGAGTAATATTAGTATGAAAAAATACATTTAATAATAATAAGCGGAATAATACTATTACGAAGATAATAATAACAGGAGTAAGAATAGTAAACATAATACTAATACAAATAAAACAAATAATAAGATTAAACATCCGACGAATAATAAACGGAAAGCTATTAAGAAAAGACTTAGAGTAATAATAATAATAATACTAATAAAAATAATAATAATAATAATAATAATAATAATAATAATAATAATCATACTAGTAATACTAATAAGAAAAATAATAACAGTAAGAAGAAGAAGAAGAAGAAGAGGAGGGAAGAGGAGGAAGAGGAGGAGGAGGAGGAGGAGGAGCAGGAGGAGGAGGAGGAGGAGTCGGAGGAGGAGGCGGAGGAGGAGGAGGAGGCGGAGTAAGAGGAGGACGAGGAGGAGGAGGAGGAGGCGGAGGAGGAGACGGAGGAGGAGGCGGAGCAGGAGGCGAAGGAGGAGGAGGAGGAGGAGGAGGCCGAGGAGGATGATGAGGAGGAGGAGGAGGATGAGGAGGCGGAGGAGGCGGCCGGCGGAGGAGGTGGAGGAGGCGGATGATGAGGATGAGGATGAGGATGATGAGGATTGTGGTGGGGATAATGATGATAATGTTGTTGATGAAGATGGTGGTGATGCTGATGGTGATGATGGTGATGATGGTGATGGTGGTGATGGTGGTGATGATTATGTGGATGATGATGAGGAGTCCCTCGTTCTTCCCCCTTTCCGAGGGGGTGCTGGGGTGCCGCGGGGGGCGCTGGGAAGGCGTGCGCCCCACAGGCGATCGGCGGCTGGACTGGCACCGCTGGCGCCTACTGCGGGGCCTGGGACGATGGCTTAGTGGACCGGTCGGGTGGGTCGAACTCTGTCGCATGCAGCCGGTCTCGGTCTCGCCGTGGCGATGCCTGGGCGCCTCTGCGTCAGGAGGCGCCCGAACCGGGATCCCCGAAGAAGAAGGGTCGACATAAGCAGAACATTTTTCGAAGGTTTGGGCGGATTTCTCGGATCGGATACCCCTGGCGGCGCGTCCAGCGGCGCGCCTGGAAGGGTGGTCTGGCGTCGATCCAAGAAATCCGCGCGGACTTTCGAAAGTTAATGATCATGCAGTTTCTTCTTATTCCTCCTCTTCTTCTTCCTCCTCTTCTTGTTGTTGTTGTTGCTGCTGTTGCTGCTGTTGTTGCTGTTCTTGTTGTTGTTGTTGTTGTTGTTGTTGTTGTTGTTGTTGTCGTTGCTGTTGTTGTTGCTCTTGCTATTGTTGTTGAATTCTCATTTCTCAAGAACAACTATTGTTGTTCCCCCCTGCCCAGTAACCAATGTATTTTTGAATTAATGTGCTTCTCCTGGGGCTCGCACCCTGTTTCTTACAAGAGAAAGCGAAACTCGTGCTCTCGCGCGGGACGTCCTCACAAGTTAAACAGGAATCGCGCTCTCGCGTGGGACTTCCCTGCAACTTATTCAGACGCCACGCCGTCGACACTCAGCAATCACGCTCTCGCTGTGGATTTTCGCGCGATTCATTTAGGGATCCCGCTATCTCTCGAGACTTCCTCGCGATTCATGCAGGACGCACGCTTCAGCAACCTGCCTGCTCGACCTGGCCGCCTGGGCCCGCCTTCCCCGACACCCGTTGGGATCTACCCGCCCGATCTGCTCGTCTGATTCTGCCACGTGTTTTCAGCCCCTAGCCCCCGTCCTACTACTCTTTCTCGTGCTCCATCCTTCTCCCTCCCCCTTGTCTCTTCCTTCCATCCGTCTTCTCTTCCCCAGCCTTAGGAGCTGCACGACATGCACGTTATAGGTCAGATAGATTTCCCCCCCAATGGGGTACGATCGACGACGAAGAGGGCGGGTATCGAGGGTTTGGGATATACATGTTGAATGGCATGCGACCAGATACGAGCGAGCATTCATAAACTGATTGTTGTTGTTGTTGTTGTGGTGGTTGTTGTTGTTGTTGTTGTTGTTGTTGTTGTTGTTGTCGTGGTGGTGGTGGTGGTTGTAGTTGTAGTTGTAGTTGTGGTTGTGGTTGTGGTTGTGGTTGTGGTTGTGGTTGTGGTTGTTGTTGTTGTTGTTGCTGCTGCCTGCTGCTGTTGAATATTTTTTGTTCTAAAGAATAATTATTGTTGGGCCCCCTGGTGCGCGCCCCCCCTGCGCCGCCTAGGCCGCAGCTACATTTTCATCATTTTCGTGAGGAAGCCTCAGAAAAGAGGGTGTGTACAGGATCCGGTTGTTTTGTTGTAATCCGCTTTCCCTTGCAAAAAACAATAGAAAATGACATTTCTTGTTCTAATATAATCAAATTTCAAGAATCCCTTGCAAAAAATAAGGTAAAGTGGACATTCGCGCGCGCAAGACGAAATCCTTCCAAAACCTTAGTGTTCGCAGCGATTTTAACATAAAAACATCAAAAAACCAATGGTTTTTCAACAAAAAATTGTCAAAATCTCATCCCGCGCGCTCTTGCGGATTCGTAGGAAACCCAACACTTTTTAAACATTTCTGTCAAACGGGCTTTTGCGAGCAACTTTTTCGAACTTCTGCGACAACGGTTGCGCACCTGCCAGGGCCATCATCCCTGTCAAATAATACCATGCGGGACACATTCGTTTTTTCTTCGCGCGCGCACGCCGTCGTCGTCGGCCGCGGGGCCCTGAATAGTAGCCACGGTCGTCCGCATGCCACGAAGTGAAGTGTCCGAACGTCATAGGGCGGGAAGCTGGGTGTGGGTGGTGGCGAAGAGTCGTTTGGAAATTTGGTAGAGCTTGAACCGGCCCCCCCACAAAGTGGGGGTATTGCCCGCCTCCTATGAAAACCCTGGCACTGGTGAGAACGGAGTGTCCCCACGTGCTAGTAATTGTTGTTGTTGTTGTTGTTGTTGCTGTTGTTGTTGTTGACTTCTCATATTGCCCGGTAACCATTGTTTATTAATCACAGTGCTCCTCCCGATGTTCGCACCTTGTTTTTTAGGGGGGAAGTGAGAGGTCACCAAACTGTGCCCCTGGCTCCCGAGTTACGACAACAACGGCTCCCGCCTGATACTTCCTTGCCATTTATTCCCAATTCGCGCTCTCGCGCGGGACTGCCTCATAATTTATACAGGAATCGCGCTCTCGCGTGGGACTTCCTCGCAATTTATTCAGACGCCACGCCCTCGACACTCAGCAATCACGCTCTCGCTGTGGATTTTCGCGCGATTCATTTAGGGATCCCGCTATCTCTCGAGACTTCCTCGCGAATCATGCAGGACGCACGCTTCAGCAACCTGCCTGCTCGACCTGGTCGCCTGGGCCTGCCTTCCCGACCCGCCCGTTGGGGTCTGACCGCCCGATCTGTTCGTTTGTTTCTGCCACGTGTTCTTAGCTCCCAGCCCCCCTTCTGTTACTCTTCCCTCCCCCTTGTCCCTTCCTTCCATCCGTCCCCTCTTCCCCTGCCTTGGGGGATGCACAAAATACGCGTAGCAGGTACGAAAGATGTACCCCTAATGAGGGTACGATCGAAAACGAAGAGGGCGGGTGAGGGCTTATGACACGCGAGCAGATAAGAGCGAACAGTCTTAACATGACTGTTGTTGTTTTTCTCCTTCTTATTCTTGTTCCTCTTCTCTTCATATCCGCCGATCATCGCGACGTCTTCCTCGACAAAGATATCTTCTCCGTTTCGGAGTTTGTTTTGGGGCGTCTTTGGAGGCCCTCGTTGCCGCTGTTGAGCGCGTCTCGGAGAGCAAACCGGATCGGTTTGAGTGGATTTTGGAGGTCTCGCAAAAGCCTTCCTGCTCTCGAAGGGTTGCCTTTGTAGAAGCCTCCGATCTTTTTTTAAGAAACACCCCGAAGTCCGCCTTCCTCGTCAGGGGGAGGACAAGCCGCACCCCTCCACCAGGCCACTTCCAGCGAGGAGGTCCACGATGCCCCCCGAGCCAGAGATTGGAGACGCCTTGAGCGGGGCGCCGCGAGACAGAGGACCGCACCGCCAGGGCGACCCTCCCTGGCTCCTCACGATGGTGGTGGTGCTGGTGATCATTTTTGCTCCTACCTCCTCCTCCCTCTCCTCCTCCTCCTCCTCCTCCTCCTCCTCCTCGCCGCTGCCTGTCATTATGCTCGTCAGCGCGCATCGGAACAGACCCGCGTCCCCCAGGGTACCCGCACTCCTCCTCCTCCTCCTCCTCCCCTCCTCCCTCCTCCTCCTCCTTCCTCCTCCTCCTCCTCCTCCCTCCTCCCTCCTCCTCCTCCTCCTCCTCCCCCTCACCTCCTTCCTCCTCCTCCTCCTCCTCCTCCTCCTCCTCCTCCTCCTCCTCCTCCTCCTCCTCCTCCTCCTCCTCCTCTCCTCCTCTCCTTCCTCCTCCTCCTCCTCCTCCTCCTCCTCCTCCTCCTCCTCCTCCCTCTCCTCCTCCTCCCCCTTCTCCTCTTCCTCCCCCTCCTCTTCCTCGCCCTGCCCCGTCTCACGGGGTAACATCGGAAATCTCTGAGATCCTACCCCCTCTCGCGCGCCGTCAAGATCTTGGCTCGATCGGCTCCGCCGATCCCGCGGTGTCCTGGCGATCGGTGAAGGATCGCTGCAGGCCCTCGATCGGCGGGGGGCGCTGTCCGCTTTTGGGACCGGTCGGGCCGGGTCGGGTCGGGGCCGAGAAGGGAGCAAATGCTAGCCACGCTCAGAGTGGGATGGGGGGAGGGGGGAGGGCTTCGTGGAAGCACCCCTGCCTCTTAGAAGGCGCGTGCCGCGTGCCTCATCTACAGATGTAGGGCCGGCGCCTTCTATGAAGCAGGCTCCTTCTAGGAAGCCTTCCCCCTCCCCTACCCCCTTCTGCGCGCCGCCAAAGAGCAAACGATGACGCATCCAGTGGCCGAAACGCGCGCGCGTGGGACACGTCTATCGAGGAAGAAGAAACGGCATGAGCACAGTGTCTCGGATGTCCGCGCGGACCTGCGAGAATATATGTTTGTGCTTTTTTTGTCCCTGCAGTCCTGAGTGAATGGGAGGCGGAGTGAAGGGAAGCAACGAGTGAGTGAGCAACACGTTTTTGTTGCAGTTCCGAAGCATGTTGGATAGTTCGTGATGTGTCTGGTCAGGAGCTTTGGTGGCGTAGCGTGTCGCGCCGTCGGTTCTGGCCAGCGACGCTTAAGCGCGACACGCTAGCTACCTCCCGATTCCCATGCATCAGCGTCCCGAGCCCTTCCCAGCCTCCCGCGCCGTGGAGCGGAGCGACACGCTGTCCGCTTCCAGCACACAGCGTGGCGCCTGGGATTTCGCCGCGACACGCCAAGCAAAAGTTCCTGACCGTATCCACCAGCCGCGGATCAGACTGGTCTGGGGCGCTCTAACAGCTAAGGACACCAGCTACCCCGCGTGGTGCTACTCGAACCCAGGCCCGTTCGGGGTTCGGGGGGCACTCCGCTGAGGGGAAGGATGGGGGTGAGGGCAGGGATGATGATGGTGGTGGCCGTGATGATGATGCAGATGATAATGGCGATTATGATGCTGATGGGATAAAGGTGATGGTGATGGTGGTGGCGATGATGATGGAGATAGAGATGGTGATGACAATGATGATTGTTACAGTATGCTTGTGTTTATGAGTTTACGATTTCGATGGTGATGACTGACGCATGCGACGATGATGACCTGCAGATTATTTTTGCGTGGTGGCACATGCTGCAACTGTTTTGGCCCAAGCGGAAAAAGAATCGCGCCGCGCGCGTTCTCAGCAGTATAATGTCAGATGCCAGTTCATGGTAGCGGAGCGGTCGCCTCCGTGACCAAGCTCAGAGTCCCGCCGGGTTGCCATGAAGCCCGTGGCCGTTTCCCGCTGATCCGGTGCCCTGCTGTAAACTTGGCCTGGATCTGGCCGTAAAGCGGCTGGAGGAGGCCAAGTGAGACCATGATTGCGCCAGAGCGGCTGGTGCAAGAGCTGCAGAACTTCCGCCGTGGTCAGAAGGGATTGCGAAACCAGAAGAGCGGGCGGCAAGCCGGCAGCTGAGAGACGCGCGAGAAGGCGGGCGTGGCGCGTCGCCCCTGGCGGAAGCGATCAAGACGGTGGTGAGCAGGGCGACCAGACTAGCCTCGTCAAGCTCACTAGCAGGCAGACGTTGGGGGTGTCAGCGAATTTTCGGTGTTTGACGTTTGGCGGCACTGCGAGTAGTGATGCTCATCCAGGCGAGGCGAGGCACTTGCGAGGATCTGCGCCATGAGATCTCGGCCTGTGTGGGGACGCGCAGTGGAGCTCGGATCTGGGACGCGCCGGCGCTCTTCCAGGGGTGACGCGAATGTAGGAATCGACGTCGTCCCTCTCCCCTTCTTCCTCCTCCCCCTCCTCCTCCTCCTCCTCCTCCTCCTCTTGTTCTGCCTGCTCCTCCTCCCTCCTCCCTCCTCCTCCCCCCTCCCCCCTCCCCTCCCCTCCTCCCCTCCCCTCCCCTCCCCTCCCTTGATTGATTTGTTTTATCTTTTTGATTGTATTCGAACGGCCAGGCCTGCTCTTCCCCTCAGCCATCTCTGCCGCGCGCTTTCCGACGCCGCCATTGCCGCGCGGCGAAGCAGACAAGGCAGTCGTCGCCTTCCTCAGAGGGTGGCGCGTCAGTGACGCCGTCGCGCCGACGGTGGCGCGACAGTGCCTGTTCAGCGCCGAGATCGTGGGGCCAATGGTGCGCGCAGCCTTCACTCGCGAGGCTCGCCGCGCTGTTGGCTGGGTTGCAGATGCCAGGCCGACCTTCAACACTGATCCCATCTCGGTCAGGATGGCAGTGTTCAGCACGAAGCTCTTGAAGGTCTGGGCTCCGTGGGCCCCCCGGGAGAGGTTTGAGCGCCGCCGTTTCTGGGAGCTGCTCGATCGACCTGGGCAGCTCGCCGGGCTGCGGCCCCGAGCCCCTTCGCTCCGCGGGCGAGGCTGCTGGGGGGGGCTGCCCGCTAGCAAGAGCGGCCCCCGACGACGACGACGACGACGACGACGACGACGACGATTGTGAAGACGACGCCGATTGCGACGACGACTTTCCCGCAGCGCCTGCCGCCCAGGCCAGCAGTGCGCCTCCGGCCAGGTCGCGCCCGGCAGCGGGAAGTATAAGAAGTCCACGGGGCCGTGCGGCGGCGCCGTCGAGTCGAGGTCCGAGGCGCACCCTCTGCTGCCTCCCTCCGCGGGGCAGATCTATCTTTGTGACGTGTTCGGTCGGTTGTTTTAAGTCGGGCCTGTCCCTCTACAGGAGGAATATTCGAAAATAGTCCGACCAAAATAGTCAGGGCCTGACTTTTGACCATCTTTGTCTATTTTTGAGCCTTTTTGGGGATTTTTTGATTTTTTCGTCCCAAATCCGCCTGTAGGGGGACACGCCCGACCTAACGATTGTTCCTGCTGTACGCCTTGACGACGACGATGACGTGTCCGGTCGAGAGGGAAAGCGCAGGAACATTGGCTCTGGGAGCTGGGTGCGGAATTCTCGGATCTGCGTCGGGCCCCCCCCAGCGGCGCCCCCGGCGCCGCCCGCGGCGGGCTCCGCGCGCCAGGGAGGGGCCCAGCGCTGATCCAAGAAATCCGCGCGGCGTCCGAAAGCTCATGTTCGTGCCGTTTATGTTTATCCATTCGGGTGATTTTTTGTGTATTCCTGCTGTTTTCCTGCCTCGGGATGCGTTCCGACAGCTGCACATATCGCCGAGAGCGACCTGGGGGTTGTCTGGATCGTCCCGGTGGTCCGCCAGAGACCCGAGCTGTGGCCCGAAAGTCGAAGGCAGGGTCCACCTCGATCCGATCGATCCGATTCGGCATCGACTCGGAGGAGGAGGAGGAGGAGGAGGAGGAGAAGGGAGGAGGAGGAGGAGGAGGAGGAGGAGGAGCCGGCCAGCTCGATCCGATTCGATCCCGCTGGTCCGAGGATCCGAGTGGGCCCGACGCTCGTGGTGGTGCTGCCGTGCATCCTGGCGCGGCCGCTTCGGTGTGGCTCCGGCTCGGCGGCGATGGCAGCCCGGGTCGAGGCACGTCCCGAGCCGATCCGATGTCGCGGCTCGATGCTGGCTGCTTTGCCCCCCCCCCGTCCTCCCCAGGCCTCCGGCGTCACAGGAAGCTTCCACGGCGGCACATGCCGTCCTCCAGACGGCCCGCCTCGGGCCCCACAGCCATGGGGCCCAGGACGGAGGACTGGTTGCAGGAATGAGGCCGAGAGGTACGTGGGGCCCATGACGTCGGGTGTCGGATGTCTGGTCCTGTCCGAGGAGGAGGAACAGAAGGATAATGAGCAGCAGGATGAATATGAGGAGGAGGAGGAGGAGGAGGATGAGGAAGATGATGATGATGATGATGATGATGATGATGATGAGGAGGAGGAGGAGGAGGAGGAGGAGGAGGGCGGAGGAGGAGGAGGAGGAGGAGGAGGAGGAGGAGGAGGAGGAGGAGGTCCGTAGCCATTTTGGCTCAAGTTCGAAACCCGTGTCGCGGGGCTTCGAGCTTTGGTTTCCGCCGCCGTGCGACAAGCCTCGAGGGGGCGCCTGGACGCGCGCCGCGGGCATTTGGCCCACTTCTTTCTTACGATTCCGCCAGGACTGACACACAGTCCATCCAGTCGCCTCGCTGCGCTGCCATGGCCGTCGTGGCCTCGCAGGAGAATGATGAATTTGAACGACGTCAGCGAGCGCGCACCGACCAGGTGGGCACAGGGGAGTTCGACGCCCTCCACTCACAGGTCACGAGCACCAAAAAGCACATGCTGGAGCCCTTGGCGACTATGCAGGCGTATCTCTCCGCCCTGTCGGCCTCCGTCACCAGCGGGATGGACGCCGTCGAGGAGAGGCTCGAGCTCCGCCTCAGCGCGATGGAGAAGCGACAATCCACGCGGGAGGAGCGTGTCGACCATTTCGAGGCGCAGATCACCGCCCTCCAGCTTGCCCTCGGGGAGGTCAAATCGGATCGCCCTGTTCCTCCTCTTCCTGCTCCTGGTTTCAATCGCAGCGTCGACCCCACCATCCTGCTCCTCCGCTCCAAGCTCTCCGCCGCCAAGGCAGCAGTGCTGGCATCGCTCTCGGATTGGCTCTCTCGAGCCCAATTGGAGCAGGACGATTTCGTTATCGAGGGTGACCCCGTCTCCAGCAAGTTCGTGCTGCGGATCAAGGGCACCCGCGCCTACGCCACCCGCAAAGTGCGTCAAGCAGTGGGAGCTCTTCGACGTGCTGACGGTGAGTGAGAGCGCTTCTGTGTCGCCGCTCCCACAGGCGAGCAGCAGGAGTTGCTCATTTCCCCCGACAGGAATGTCGCCCAGATCAAGCGTGAGATCGCGCTCAGGAGGGTGCGAAAGGTCCTGGAGCAGAAGCGCCCAGACCTCAGGTTCTACAGTGGCAAGGAGAAAGGAGAAATCTCATGCCAATGGAAGCAGTTGGTTCGGGTTGAGCCGCAGCAGGGCGACGCGCACCTCATCCTCTCCGTTGTCATGGGAAACGTGCGCGAGTTCAACCTCGACAAGCAGGACATTGTCGCTGGGGTCAAAGTGTCCGGCTCGGCCACGGAGGAGACTGAGTGGAGCCTTTAGCAGGCTCTTCGTGGGCTGGCGAGACCAGGCTGGCCGCCGCATCCTTCTGTCTCTTGCTTCCTGGAATGCCCGAGCCCTCTGTCACTGCAAGCCTCACATGCGCTCACAGAAGCTGGCCTTGGTGACGAAGCTTTGACAGCCTGGCTCGACTGTTGCTATTCAAGAGTCACATGGCAGCGCTGCCGAGGTCCAGGACTTCGGCTCAGTCGTCTCCTCTTTCTGCGCCAACCCAGCCGCCGGTGGAATTGTCACTATGTACCCTAACTTCGACAAGTACATTAATAGGCCTCTGCATGTTCAGTCTAACACTATAGTTTTTGGTCGTGCCATCGAACTCGTCATCAACCTTTCCGAGGATGTCTGGGTTTCGCATTTCAATCTTCACATTCATGGTCTATCTCGTCTCGAGCGCGAACGTATCGCCAGTGCTATTCGTGCTCTTCTTGCTGCTGCCACCTGTTCCCCGTCCGCTCCGTTTGTGATTATCGCTGGTGATCTCAACCGGCCGACAAGCCCCCCCAGGCATCTGGGCGCAGACCCCTCCATCGACCGTGCGAACGTTATCAGGGACTGGCGAGCCTCCAAGGACCCGCTTCTGAGCCCCATTCTGGCCAGCATGACCGAGGTTGACACCCCCGACCCCGCCCGCTACAACAAAGCGCTACGCGCCCGGAACACTATCGATCGCATCTTCCTGAGCTTCCCTGGATGGGTCTGCAACCGGCTGTTCTTTAGCGGCCAGGTGAGCAAGTGCCCTGAGGCCCTCCATGTCAAGGGCCTCTCGGACCGCGCGCCGCTGTCAGTGTCTATTGCCGCGGGCCCTCCGATCCCGCCCAGGGGGGGACCTATCCCGGAATCAGTTTTTCAGCAGCAGGAGTACTCCGACTACCTTGAGAAGGTTTGGGCCACGGGTGACGGTTTGGAGCTTCCCCCGCCTCTCACCCGCCAGTGCCGGACGCGGATCGTGAGAGAGGCCGCGCAGGTAGCCAGGGGCGCCATGATCGCGAGGCGCCCCGAGTCTCTTGCCTCTCGGCACCTCGCGGTCAGAAGTATTTGCAGAGCGGTTTCGAGACGAGATATCCGACTGGCTCGACTCCGAGCCGCGCGCGAATTGGCTCGACCTTACCTTGTGGTGGACGTCCTCGGGAGGTCTGTCCGCTTGCTGAATGCCCTTGAATTTCGGCAGGCGTCGAGCCAGATCCACCGCAGCGTCGCTGAAGGCGAGCGGGCTGAAGTTCGGGTCAGCCTGCAGAGGGGGCCGCCAGCGGGCACTGCCAAGAAGCGCCGCCGCCGCCCGCGTGCCCTCGTTTCGCGGGGCCGTCTGTGGAGCCCCTTCGACAGGCGCATTTGTTTGCGCGGCGTTCGACATGCTGGCGGGGTTTTGCTCGGGGCCTTGAAGAAATGACGCAGAAGCTCACCCGCCGCTGGTCCAGCGCTGTCAAGGAAAAGCAGATCGACGCCGCGAGTGTTCAGAGATGCATAGACGGGTATGGTGCCACTCTGGATCTTCGGGACCTTCCTCTTCCTACGTTGGGCTCCATGCGGCTCTGCCTCGAGGCCCTTGCCCGCTCTGCCCCCGGACCCGGCGGGCTCCCATTTCTTGTCTGGCAGTGCCGCCCCAAAGGCCTTGAGGTGCTCCATGGTCTCCTATGGTGGGTCTTCTCTGGGAATGCCCCGTTCATCGGTTTCAGCGACCCCAGACAGGTGTTCACCCCGAAAGGAAGTGAAGGTGGTGACAGTGCCGCCGTTTCTGAAGGTGCGTCCCAGACGAGGCCCCTGGGGCTGAACAAAAAACATTGCCAACGCAATGCTTGCTGGTCTTGTGTGCCGATCCCTCGGCAGATCTATCCCTGGGCGAGTTTATCGTGCAAATACAGCGTGGGTTTATCTCAGGACGGAATTTCGGCGACAACATCCTAGATCTCGACACTTATTCGCGTGTATACAGCATGCAAGCATTCGATCATAACGCGGCCATCTCTCGCAAGCCCGTGCCCGCGAGCTTTGATTGCGGTCAGGCCTTCCCGTCGATCGCCCATGATTGGCTGCTCCTGTGTCTTCGACGGCTCCGTCTCCCTGGTGCTCTTTGGTGTTGCCTTTCTTGTCTGTGCTCATGCGTGCGATGCTTCGCGCGCTGTGAGGACAGCTTCGCCTTCGCTATCATAGTGGAGAGCGGCGTCGCCCAGGGCCGCCCCGCGTCGGGCATCGTGCGCGCTATTGCGTCGCGCCCACTCCTCGTGGACGTGGGCCGCGAGCTGAACCCCGAGACTCGAGGGCCCGCCAGAGCGTGTGCTGATGATGTTGGGCCGCTCTTCGAGCGCTCGAAGTTCCCCGCCGACTGAAGGGGCCCTTCGATCTGAGCAGGAAGCTTGCAGGCCTCACACCTAAAGTGTCTAGGCGTCCCTCCCCCCTTCCCCCCCCCCCCCCCCCCCTTCAGTGGCACTTTATCGGCTGAAATTGCTGATGCCATCAAAGGGTGGTTAAATGGGAACATGCCAGATTGGTCTGCGTTCCAAATTGTCCCGTGTCTGACGTGTCTCGGGCTAGTCCTGGGGCCTGGGGCCTCTAAAAGAGAGAGCTGGGGCGTGCCTATTTTGAAA